GAAGACTGCCAATGGTTTACATTTTTGCAAATCTTTTTTGTGTGTGTGGTACTGAGGATTGAACTCGGGACTTTGTGCTTGCAAGGCAGGCGGCGCAACCACTGAGCTAAATCCCCAGCCCTGTAAATCTCTTTATAAGGTCTGGTTTAACAAAAGACAGTTGGATTCTTGTATCTGTTTCTGCACTGGATCTGTTGAAATAAGTTACTCATACAGCTTCTGGGAAAATATCACTACATACCCAGGAGAAAATGAGAGAGAAGGTGCTGAGGATGCAGCTCGGGAACAGAGCACTTGCCTAGCATGTGTGAGTTCCGGGGTTCTAGTTCCAGCCCTGCCAGGAAAAAAAGAGGGTGAAAGGCAAATAACATCTTAGTGTATTATGAAAGTAATTTCCACCGCCATGCCCCTGACAATATCCCCAGAAACCCCAGGAGTCTCTAGGTCACACATTAAAAAGCACGAGCTTCAATTGTAGTGATGGACGGAGGCACACAGAAAGCTTTCTGGATTCTGTAAGAATTCATCACAGTCTGAGGGAATCATTCAGTGCTGCAGGATGTATTTACAGAGAGGCTGCTAAAGGCCAGGCACTAACTCCTCTCATTTTTTGCTTCATACCATAGGAAAAATTTTATTAATCACAAGTAATTACCTACTCACAAATGTATTTAGTACTATGACAAACAAGATGGGAGAAGTTCTATGAGTCAATAATATCAGAGCTGAAAGTTGAAGGGTAATTTACTAAGTGAAAAGTAGGGAGGCCGGGGATGTAGCTCAGTGGCGCCTCGGATGCCTGGCAAGTACAAGGTCCTGAGTTTGATCCCTGGTACCAGGAAAATAAAAGAAAAAAAAAGAAAAAGAAAAGTGGGGACTGGGAGCCGGGTGTGGTAGTGCACATACGTAATCCCAGAACTCCAGAGGCTGAGGCAAGAGGATTGCCATGAGTTCAAGGCCAGCCTGAACTATGCAGCAAGAACTTATCTCAATAAAATAAAGGAGCAACATAAACAACATTGGGAAGAATATTCCAGGCAAAGGGAATGGCAAGAGCAAAGTCCTAGAGGCAGAAAGATACCTTGGGCCAGGGATTTAGCTCAGTGGTTCCATCACCTGCCTTGCAAGGTCCTGAGTTCGATCCCTGGTACAGAAAGAAAGAAAGAAAGAAAGAAAGAAAGAAAGAAAGAAAGAAAGAAAGAAGGAAGGAAGGAAGGAAGGAAGGAA